CACCGTGTCCGGCCGCAGGTACCCGGGCAGCACCGCGGCCCCGGCGTCCGTGCACGGCCCGGCCTGGTAACTGTACAGCAACGCGTTCCCGAACTTGAGCAGGTCACCCACGGAGGACAGGAATCCGCCGCCGGCCCATTTGTAGGAGTTGTCCACGTAGGGAGCGTTCACCAGACGACCCTTCTTGTTGTACACGTAGTACCTAGGGGTCAAGAACATCAACGCATCACGGCGAGTTTCTCCACCACAAAAATCTTGTTACAGACACCCTGAAATGGTTGACTTGCACCCCTGAAATCCCTAGAACACGGTTTTTTAAACATTTTCCTATCAGTTAAACATAGCATGACCAAAGCATTACACACACCTCAGCATGTTCAGGTCTGAGGCACCAAACCACCACTGGTGGAAGCAAACCCACACATCAGCATCCCAGCGTTCCCCAACAGCGACCAGCCCAGAACAAGACCTCCAGAACAGCACCTATCCCAGTCCTTCCATCCCTACCACACTGCAGCTTAGACAAGGATTGCTACACCCACGCTTAAAAAGCCCTGACTGTACAAGCTTGGTAAGTCATGAGCCCATCACTAGGATCCAGGTGAGCCTCCAAAGTTTTGCAAGCAAAATAAACCAGAACAGCACAAAGCATCTTAGAATACAGCAGTAAAGACACCCCTGAACTACCACAGGTTTGTGTGCACGTAAATACTTGAATTCAACAACAATCCCATGGAACTCTTAAAACATCACTATATTAAGCAAATCAAGGCCACCAGATATTCCAGCATAGTCCACCAGTTCCCCCTTATCTCACACTATTTACACTTACATGCTTATTCATACCCAAAACTGATGTCAGCCAAGTCACCCCCACCACTCCCCTCCACATGTACTCACAGCAGGAAATACTCATCTCCTACTCTGTGACTGTGCATGTTAATTACAGAACCAATACCACGGCACTGGAACCAGCCACGTGACTAACCTTGAGACAAGACACTTGATTTAAAAATCTCAGGGTCTGGGAAGAAAACCCCCACCCATTCTTAATTCAGTTGGCCTCATAAAGGTGGAAAGAGCAAGAGTTGCTGTGGAAACAGAGGTTTCACCCTTGCTCACCTTGCTCTGTTATACACCATGGCTTCATTGTCATCCAGGACAGTTGACAACATATCCAAGTCACGAAACATTTTCAGCATATAATCTGTAAATTTTTGTCCCGAAACTCTCTCCACAACAGCACTTAAGAGAGTAAAGCCATGCGTTGAGTACAAGAACTGACTACCTTGAAGAAACACAGAGTGAAAGGGGAAAAAAAAAAGGAAGTTAACCACACGATGCTTGAATCGAATCCCATGTGAAAATAGAACTATTTATAGCAATGAATAATCAACTACAAGATTGTCTCTCCAACCTCATTTTCACATCACACGAGCCACAAGCTCACGGTACCAGCCCCAGGAGGCTCTGCACTGCTGCCTCAGCTGCCTGACTCATGCTCTGGGCACAGAGCTCACACCTTCCAGCAGCCTCAGCTGCCTGACTCGTGCTCTGGGCACAGAGCTCACACCTTCCGGGACCTGCACACACAGTCAGGTCTCACACCAAGGGTGGGCACTGACATCTAACACCCTTTCCACAGCACTTACCATACCAGGTATAACCAGGATGTCTGGACCTGAAAAGCTGAAGCCATAAAATTACTTCTTGGAAGAAGACACAGCTGCTGTGACATGGTGTGCCCAGACCCTAGAGCTGGGACAGTGCCAGTGTTGCTGGCGTTTCTCAGTGTTTCCAGTTCTGCTCTTCTAGTTCTAGATATGCTGAGAGATCATATGAACACTAACATGCAAATTGTTTAAGACAAAATGATTTCTTTACAGAACAATGTTTCCTTTTTTAAAATCTCATACTTGTGCTAACGCCTTTTATGAAACCTCTACACACTGAGCACCCACTCGACTGGCTGCAGTCAGGACAGACCTCTTACTTAAGTGGTTCCTGGAGCTCCTCGAGATGGTGAGTGGTTAACTGCTCCTACCCCTCTCCCCTGAGTGCACAGCAATGCACACAATTTGCCTTTTAACCTAGATCATTTAGCACTTACCCTGAAGCTCCTCAAAGTCTTCTCTAGATTTAATGTAAGTAATCCCAGCAATATATTATTTCACTAATTCTGTGATTCTCTGGTTTGTCTGTAGAATACTTCAGCTCTGGTTTAGTGCCTCAGGAAAATTCTTTCTTTTGGGTTGCTATCTAGAAGGCCCAGAACATGACTGCAGCAAGTTGGTATCTGTTTACAAAGTACTTTGTAGACACAAATTTGTTACCAAAATTTATAAATTCAGTACCTGGCACTTTTCACAGCACTTACTGCATTACTTACTGCTCCTGGGAGAAAAGCCTTATTTCTACCTGAGGGCCACTTTCTCTTCTGCCCTGTGTTACCTGGGACTCTGCATTGCCCCAGAGCTCTTGGCTGGGTCGTGTTTATGCTGCAGATACTCCATTAGAAGGTGTATCCAAGCCTAATTCTCTGAGTAGATTGGTAAAGATACCTGTACAAGACAGTTATTTAAAACCGAACTGACAAATCCTGCCCAGTTCAGTTTTCAAAAGTCACAGCAGTTTTAAGGCAATGACAAGACCAGGTGGTTTGTGCAGAACAGCCCCAATCCTTCTCTGTTGAGCTTTTAGTGGAGCACAGGAAGGAAAAAAAAGGGAGAAAAGCAGAACAAAACAAACACTCTACTGGACTCTCACTACCATCACTGCGTGTAAAACTGTTTGAACACAAATGCCACCAGAGCAGCACAATTTGGTTTAAATTGAAACTCACCTGGTTTAAAGACTAAAGGATCATTTTTAAATATCTTCAGTGATTCAATCACACTTTCATATTTTTCCTTCAAGTAATACTCCTCTTGCTCAAACTCCTTGTCTCTCTTGCCAGGTTTTGAATTTCGGCTTTTCCCCTCTCCTTCATGTTCTCTCCTTGGCTTGGCAGAATCCGTTTTTTCCACCCCTTTGCCTTCTTTTTCTTTTTGCTCTTTGTCCTGAAGGGGTTTTGTCAGCTGCAGTGCTCTGTTTGCCTTTTCCTTTTCTTCTTTTACTTTTGCAACATCTTTTTCATAGTGACGAATCCCACTCAAGTGTGAAACTAACAGTCTGGTAGTAATAGTGACCTAGGCAGAAAGGAGAATGTGACAAAAAAGCAAAATTCAGCATGACACACAACAGACAAAGGTATAAGACCTTTCAATATCACACACTAAACCCAGTAAAAATCTATACATATATATGCACACACTGCATGCTGGATATAAACCTGGAGATCCAAAGGTTCCACGTGGCTTTTCTGAGCAGCAAACACCAGTACTGCACCACTGGGATGGGATGGGATGGGATGGGATGGGATGGCATGGCATGGCATGGCATGGCATGGCATGGCATGGCATGGCCTGGGGGGCCAGGCACAGGCACCTGCACCCAGCCAGCCACACACAGCAGGAACAGACCCACAGGGACTCTGAGCCACGTGAACACTTACACACCTTCTCACCCTCATAGACCTTCTCTGGAAACTCAGGGACGTATTTCTGCACTGGAGCATCTAAATCCAGCTTCCCCTCTTCCCACAGCTTGGCAACAGCCATCATGGTGAGGCACTTGCTGATACTGGCAACTCGCATGATGGTCTCTGGCTTACACACCACTCGGTTCTCCACATCAGCATAGCCCAGGCCTTGGAGAAAACAACAACACCTGCTAAGGGTTTTGCACAGACACATGCTGAATTAAATACTTGCCATTAATTACACTTACTGTCCCCTTTAAATGTTTTTCCTCAAGCTAAACTGGGATATGACATGTTGGACCATCCCAGCACCTGCTTCAATTAAGTTAATCTTATGACAGGGAAGGGATTCTGCACAAGTCCTACACACACTTCTGCTTTCACTGCTAGGTAATCTGAGACCAGAAAAAGCTATGTGATTTGAGAAAGTTTGTGATTAAGTTTCTAGCACAATCTTCTTATTAGGCCACATTACAAAAGGTACCAGAGGCTCTCAACTCACTTCTGCCACGATGAAAGAGAAATTGCAACCCATAACGAGCTTCATACCTATGTTAAAGCTAATGCAACAACAGACTGTCAGAAGAAATAGAGCAACAATCTTAATTACAACAATTTGTTCTTCAAATTCTATAAAACACTCATGAAGTATGTTGCCATTTATGCTGTCAAAAAATCCCAAACCCACTTGGGTTTTCTGGAACACCTGAAACTGTCTCTGAAAAGGGATGCATATTTTGATGGGTTTTTTAAAACATCGAAATCTATATGATATGAGCAGTGCTAACGAGCTCCACCTAAAACTAAATTGTGTATCCAGAAAAATCACTTGCAATTCCTGAAAGGATGAGACCTGTGAAATCCCAGCACCTTCCCAGTACGATCTGCACCTCAGCCCACAAATGGGAGTCACCAAACATGAGCCATTACTACTCTGACTCATGGGTAAGCTCCTGTGGAGAGAAGAGTTCCTCACCTCCTGCACACAGTTCTACCAGACTCTACAGCTCCATGTGTGTATGTTCACAAAAAATTAATGGCAGAAAGGTTCTGCAGTGTAACTGCTGAGACACACTAGCATGGTTGGGAAGTTAGCAGTTCCTGGGAATTACTGAAGTTTACCCAGGAAAGCATCACTTGATCTTCCCTAGGAATCTGTTTGTGGCCACTGCCCAGAGATGGGACATCAGCTGGCTGAAAACCCAACCTGATTAGTGTGTCTGGACTGTGCATTTTTAAGATGTTCACCAGTTCTCAACAGCACACACAGCTGCGACTCCCACATACTCACCTTCTGACCAAACTTCCTCTCCATCTACAGAAACGCCCACCAGTATACCTGGGATTCCTGCTTCGTCCTGTCAAAGCCAAAAAAGGACAAAAGACTTTTAAAAGGCTCTTTACAGTTAAAAAACACCTCCTCCCAAACGCTAACACCGTGAAAGCAATCCTACAAATACACCTGTCTACTGCTGGAGAAATTTTGTCACATCCCAGTTGGGATGAACTGGGATGAACTGCAGTGGCACTGCTGACATTTTAATCCAGCCACTGGGAAAATACATGCCTAACAGGAACAACATAAATAATTCCACTAAACCAGTGAGCAGGACATGCAGGAGAGACTGAACAGACACGAAACATGTAATAAGCAACACGCAAACTACAACACACATTGTAACCAAGCCCCGCGGCCCCGCGGCTGTGTCTGTGCCCGGCGCCTCACGCCGGACCCCACT